TGAGTCTGATAACTGTATTCAGTAAGAAAGGAAAGTGACCAAATTTAAAACACATGTATCAAATGCCTAACACTGGTACTAAACATAGCAGTTAAAGACCTGAAAGATCTTTCCCTGAAATAGAGGCAGCAGTAGCTTTTTTTTTTTTTTTGGAGAGATTTTCACTGTAGGGCGCGTGCGCTCGCCAGACAGACAGAGAGAGACATAGAGACAGAAAGCGAGAAATCACCCCCCAGGGAGGATGGTCACGCCGCAATCCCTTCTCCTCCATTCTCCTCTCGGGATCTTGGGCACGCACGCACACGCGCCCGGCGTGAGTTTTAAGCCACCGGGTCCGGGACGTGAACCGCGGTCGACTACGTGGGAGTCCAGCGACATAGCCATTACGCTAACTGCTGGTTCCCGGGGCAGCAGTAGCTTTAAACAGGCACAGAAAGAGGGAGGCAACCCGTCCACTTCACAAAGGCTGAAGAGAATACAGGGAAGTTGGAGCAACAGCATATCTTGGAGCAGGGGGTGGAGGACAATGGACAAAGGCTTATACCTGGGTGTTCTGAGAACCATAACACATGAACCTGAGAGGGTTAGGAGAGCAGGGTCTTGCGAGTGGGGAAATAGTACAAACTCATTTGGTGTGTTGTAGTGGCCCTCAATTCAAGAAAGTGGGACAGCATGGCACTCATGTGTTGCAGATAAATTCAACATCTGAACTTGTGTCCAGCTGTCACTTGGCTGAACACAACACTGAAGTTATGGCAGTGTATCTTGCCCCCTACCTGTACTCTGACTTACTAAAGAGTGTGTATAAGAGAAGAGCCACAGGGAGACCTTGGACAAAAACAGGGCTCCAGTGGGGACAGGGTTTCTACCTTTCCCCTCTTAGTGCTGGAAGGTGCCTGGGGGAGAGAAGTCTGACGTGGCTGGGTCCCTTTAGGCTCTGAGTGTATCATTAGAAGCCATCTCTTTAGTCCCACCCACCCAAATCCTCCCCCAAAGAATTCTCCCAGTTCATGAAAAGGCCAGCAGTGAGAGCAGAAAAAAAAACAAGGGGGAGGGGAGGTAAGGGATGATTTTCTTTTCATAGTACTTGGTACTTGTAACTGGTTAGAGGGACTTCTTCCTTGTACTTAGTTTAGACACTGAAAAGTCTGTTCCTTAACTTGGAATAATGATTCTAAAATAAGGGGCAGGTCTGCTTAAGAGGGATTCTCAAGACTCTCCAAAGAAGTTGTGTCCAATATATACAAGCCCTAATTCTCTCCCACTTAAGAATCAGTGCACATAAAGATAGAAATTCCTAATAAGAATGTTCTGCACATGTGAACAGTGGTAGGGGCAAAGCATAACGTCAAAAACTCCTAATCTGGGTTTGGCAGACATCAAAATGATGGAGTGCCTTTTTCAGAGATTGTTGTCTGATTAAATTACAAAGAAGTCATTCTTCCTATAGTTAGACTCCATGATCAGGCCCCTAGTCTCACAGCCAAGAAGAATAAGTTTACCCACTTATTTGAGGCTTCCATACTAGAATAAGAAATACAGTTCTGTTCTCCTAAAGACAATTTCCAGAAGGTCCTGCCTGTCTCTATGAGCTACTTGATTCGGTCCCAGCACAGTTTAATCACTGTGTGGTTTCTTAGAAAACTGGCTTTTCTCAATTTTTTTCTCTTTGGTATTGTACAAAGGATCCACCAATTTGTTATGAATAAACATTAAATCTTTGAAATACTTGACAGCCTTTACTTTCAGCTCCAACGTGGCATTCTTGTCACATACAAACATGGTGCAGGGATGCTGCTGGAAGGTGATATGGTCAACATGTGATTCATGCCCCTCCTTAATTGCCTTGTACAGAGCAGATGCCTCATGAGCACCTAGAGGATCATCACCTCGCTAGCATCCATGACAGTGCCCACACCCACTGTCAGAGCCATGGTGGGCATTTAGGCCAGATCTCCATCAAAGAACGTGGCATTGGCCAGGATGGTGTCCATGGCCAGGTGCCTTTACACAGGTCCTGGACACCATACTGGAACCTGACTCACTGAAGTCAATGTGTCCATTGGGGCCAATGCTAGATCGTGCCCATGGCCTTGATCTTTTTTTCAAAGGCATCAAACTCAGCCTGTAGATCAGCTGCATTCCCATCCAGGATGTGGGTGTTTTCTGATTGCATGTCAATGTGCTTGAAGAAGTCGTTTCACATGAAGAAGTGGTAACTCTCTGGGTGGTTTTGAGGAAGGCCCACATACTTATCCATGTTGAAGGTCTTTGCATATTTAAAGGGCAGGCCCCCATTGTTATAGTTCTCAATCAGCTTCTTATAGCAGCCAAGAGGGGTGCTCCCAGAGGGCAGCCCCAGGGTGAAGTACTTCTCTGACCCTGGGGTAAATTGGATGATGCGGTTCCTGATGTAATTGGCTGCCCCCTCACTGGCCTGAGAATAGTAGTCAAAGATGTAAAGTTTCATCTTGTCTCAGACACCTCCTGTGGTGCTACCAATCTATGAAGTTGTTTATTAATTAAGAAAGGAAAGTAGAGGAAATACATAATTATACTTTCTTTTATAATTACCTACATAATTATTTTACTAGCATTCTTTGTTTTTCATATGAATTCAAATTATTTTCTGGTGCCACTTCCTTTCATCTCAAAGAACCTCTTTTTGTGTTTCTTGTTAGGCAAACTGGCTAGGAACAAATCCTTTCACTTTTTATTTATCTGTGAATGTATTATTTAGTCTTCATTTTAAAAGATCAATTTCTAGATATAGGAGTCTTATCTGACAGATTTTTTTTTCTTTAAGCATTGTGAATGCATCATCTCTGATTTCTGGACCCCATGAACTTCAATGAGGTGTCAGCTGTTAATCATGTCATTCCTTTTTATATGATGAGTCATTTTTCTCTTACTGCTTTCAAGGTTTTCTCTTTATCTTTAACTTTCAATAATTTGTCTATAGGGTGTCTGGATGTATATTATTTTGGTCCTGTTGGAGTTCATTGAACTTCTCAGATATGTAGATTTTTGTTTTTCATCAAATTTGGGATGTTTACAAACATTATTTCTTTGAATTTTTTTTCTTCTTGTTTCCTATTTTCTTTTGGTATTTCCATTATGTATATGTTGGAGTGCTTAATGGTTTCTCACATTTCTTTGGACCTCTTTTCTTTCTTTTTTTTTTGGACCTCTTTTCATTTTTCTTCATTTTCTGTCCCTGTTCTTCACATTTGTATAACCTCTATTTATGTATTTTTAAGTTGGTGCATTCTTTCTTTTGCCTACTCTAATCTACTGTTGAGCACCTCTAGTGAATTTTTCATTGCAGTAATTGTACTTCTCAATTCCAGAATTTCCATTTGTTTCTCCTTTTTTTATAATTTTTATCTCTTATGTGATATACTCTCATTCTTTATATGATAAATCATTTGAATCTAGTATTTATAACAGCTGCTTTCAAGTCTCTTTATGCTAAGTGCAACATTTAGACCTCCTCAAGGAAAGTTTCTATTGTCTGCTCCTTTTCTTCTATATGGGTCACACTTTCCTGTTTTATTCCATGTCTTGTTATATTTTGTTGAAAGCTACATGTTTTGATTAACATATTGTAGCAAGTCTAGATAGTGCTTCTTCACTTTCTGGGATGTATTGTTTTTACTGTCTGGTCATCTATTTGTTTCATCACTTGGCTGAACTGATTTGGTAAAATTAATTTCCCCCACATTGTGTGTATATGACTGATTGTGTGTATATGACTGACTTGCTTTCTTTTTTTTTGAACACTGACAACATCTTGGAGCCCTCCATTTCTCCTGTTTTGCTGGATAACAATTTTGTTTTCTCCTCATCAACCCAGCTGGTCATTGCTAAGATAGATTGATGATTCCAAGAGCTTGGGGACAAACAAATTCCCAAAACAAGTATAGTGCCTTTGCATTTATTTTAAAAGCCCCAGCTTGCTTTGAGGTGGGTGAGGTGGATTGTAGAGTATGCAGTACAGCAGTGTGAGGAATGAAGGACTGAAGCTACGAATGCTTTGGGGTCACCATCTGCCAGATCCTTTTCCACATGTGAGTTTGCCCTATAATAAATTCCTCTGCAATGCTTCATTGGTGTTATCTTGTCCGGTCTCACCTACCTTACAATCATCTAGCCAGTTAGGAGATCAAGAATGAAACAAACATGGGTAAGGAGGGTTATGGAACCATAGCAGTAGTAGGTTGATTGCTGTTATGGGCTATGATATTAGTAAAAAATTCCCATTTAACAACTCAAACAAAGATATGGAAACTGGGGGAGACATCGCCCTCAGCCTGGCAAAAGGACTGGGAAATCCAGATGCCCAGTTGAGACAAAGGCATTACTATCCACATCATCACTATAAATAGCTTTTCATAATTTTTTCTAGATTATTATTATTATTCTCATTATTTTTTAAACATTCAATCGCTATTTATCATTTTGCTTGTAAAAAGACTTTACTTCTCAGATCAGTCCAGTTGAGAATACTATAGTAGAGCCTTTGTCTTGACTGATATGCATGGTATTCCATGTAAAGAAATGTAATACACTGGATAGTTATATGTGAGTCAATGTAATATAAACAAGATTATGATAATAATAAATAAAAAAGAGAAAAAAAATGCCCAGTTGAAAGCCTGTAGTCAGGCAGCCCCTGGGAGTATATCTGGGGAAAGCCTGTGGTCAGTGGGATAAATTCCAAAAGTGAGCATGCCAGGGGAAAGCCTTGGTTCAGTGGGGGCAATCCAGGCTGATCGGCTGCTTCTAGGTGGGAAGACCTGGCCAGGTTTTTAAATACTTTGGACCAGTATGTGAGTATGGAGATGCTAAGTATTCCCTAGGGACTTTTGGTTGTCCTTGCCTAAGCAGTAGGGAAATGAAAGTGGAAAGTGATGAAGGAAGGAAAATGCTATAACTGCAGCAGCCTGGCCACTGTTATGGTCAGTACGAAGGAGTATACCAAGGGACCTGCAAGTTAGCCAAGAACTGGATCTTGGTGAGGATGAAGGAAGCTTCCACCAGGGGAATGAAAGGTAGATAGAATTACAGAGAAAAGGTAAAGTGGCCAAAATATAGAAGGAAAAGGGACCTGTGAAATTCCCTTGCAAACAGCTTTGACAAGATTTGATTCTAGTTGAGAACCCAAAGGAAATATAAACATGCAACCTAATTGTATATTCTTAACTCTTTGAAAGACTTTGTACAGGAGTTTAATTATAGGATAAACTCGCATACATGAAAGTGTCAGGCAAATGGTGACTTCAAGGCACTTACAGCTTCAACCCCATTATCCTCACTCAACTACACTTCATACTCTGCCTTCCACTGCAACATCGCACCCACCCACCCCCCAGCAAGCCAGAGCTTTTTAAAGCAATTCAAAGAGACTACCCTGGCTTGGAAACATGTTGGTCTCTGAGCTCCCAGAATAAATCTTTTTTTAAAAAAAGAATTATTTTATTCAACTTTATTTATTTATTTATTTTTAATAAATAAATCCTTTCTCCTCCATTCTCCTCTTGGGATCTTGGGCATGCATGCACACGCGCCTGGCGTGAGTTTTAAGCCACCAGGTCCGGGACATGAACCGCAGTCGACTACATGGGAGTTCAGCTACATAGCCATTATGCTAACTGCTGGTTCCCTATATATTTCTTTTTTAACTTTATTTACTTTTTTACTGTTATTTATGCATTTAATTGCTATACATCATTCAGATTGTAAATAGACTTTACCCAGCACATCATTTAGATTGTAAATAGACTTTACCCAGCATGAGATACACTTCAGTCTAGCCCAGTTGAGAATACTGTACATGTCCTCATCAAAAGATAATAAACCTTATCTGTGTCCCACAAATGTACTACAAATTTTTTTCCCAAAATTTCCTTTCCTACACTCTTGCCACAGATTCTTATTGAAAAAAAAAAAAAGTTAGAATGGACAAAGGAAGACAGCAGGAGGGAGCAAAGCATCTATCCTACCTGGCTGATGCAGAGTCTGGGGATGGGGAGAGAACTGACTGGTGATGACTTCACAGCCATGAAGTTGAAGCCAGAGGCCAAAATTGGGGAAACTTTGAGGTGGCTAGCAGGTTTCTGTCCTAGGTGAGAAAAAGACAGAGATTAAAAAGAGAAAGGTCCAAGGGGGACAGAGAGCTGTTTTTTCAAAAAGAAAAAAAAATGTTAGAATGGACAAAGGAGGACAGCAAGAGGGATCGAAGCAGTTATCCTACCTGGCTGATGCAGGGTGGGGCTGGGGGGCACTGACTAGGGGTGATTTCATAGCAGTGAAGTTGAAGCCAGAGGCCAAAATCAGGGAAACTTGGAGGCGGCTAGCAGGTTTCTGTCCTGGCTGATGCCCACAGATTCTTGTTCATAGAGATTTGGTTAATTTTCATGAATAACTGTTTTCCCATTTTTTTATATGCCCTTAGGACAATTTCCAGAGACTTTAAATGGTTGTTTATTATAATGAATTTTCCAGACAAATGATTAGTTTACTGGGGATAGGGCTTAAAGAGCTTCTTACACCACCATTGCCAAAGTTCCATACCTCATTTTTAATTTTAAAAGCTGGCAGTAGAAGGTTTAAGGACCAAAGGAGACCTCTATGAGATAGGGCTTACAATGATTAGATACGTTGTATCTTTGTTAGTAAGCTAAAAATGCAGTTTGATACTTTTGGGTCTTTTGGAGTTTTTAAAAAAGAAATATTTCCAAGTGTTCTACTTAGTTCAGTTCACCACAATTTTATTGACATACTCCCTTAGGATACCAATTTCATGGTGAGTAGTCTTTGGTTTTGTTTTTTTTTTATGTTTTATGTTTTGAAATCTTGAGACTCATATTAATGTATTAATACTTATCAATATGTCCCATAGATAATATGGTTTGATAATTACGGCAGAGAACCGAAAGTCAAATTTCACTATTCCCCAACCTCTGCCTCCTATTTTCAATATCAATCTAAGAAATATTAGAAATTACTTTACTGCTATGTTGGTTCATTCAGCAGCAAAATGAAAGTAATAGTGCTTCGCAAGGGTGTTGTAAGGCTTAATGAAACTTGCTAAAACATGTGTTTCTATGTAAACAACTGTATTTATTTAAGAATATATATTTCTTAGATTCGAGCAGGTACCCATTTAAGTAAGAACATGTAAGCTATTTTAATGGGAACATTTTGTGTGTATGTGTGTGTATATCCAAATGGAAAAGAGTATTAATATAATTATTGTATTACTTTATTTGACCTTTCCTAAGGAAGTTGTGGTTTCATCTATTAAGAAAGTATTGCTTTATACAATTGATTTTCATGTATGAATTGCCTAATAATCTGTTATAATATAAAATAGAAAATATGGAATACAGTATGATTTATACCATGTCCCATGTCTTTCTTTTAATGTATAGTTTTGAAAAATTACATATAATTTGAAATTAATGTATATACATATATATTTAAATATAATTTTTCTTTTTAATGATAGCAAAACAT